CAAGTATACATAAAACTGTATACTTTTGGAAGTCCTAGCTATAGCAATCAGACAAGAGAAGAAGATCAGGAGTATCCAAATAGGAAAAGAGGAAGTCAAGTTATCCCTCTTTGTAGATGACATGATGCTATACCTTGAAAACCCAAGAGAATCTGTCAAAAACCTACTTGCACTCATAAAGGACTTTGGCAAAGTATCAGGGTATAAAATGAATGTGCAAAAGACAATTGCATTTTTAGATACCAATAATAAACAAACAAAAACCCAAATAAAAAGCACAATTCCATTCACAATAGCCACAAAACAATGAAATACCTTGGCATCTTCCAAACCAGAAGCGTGAAAGACCTTTACAATAAAAACTACAAAATGCTGCTCAAAGAAATCAAAGATGACACACACAAGTGGAAAAATATCCCATGCTCATGGATTGGAAGAATCAACAGTGTTAAGATATCCATTCTACCTAAGGCAATCTACAGATTTAATGCAATACCCATCAAATTATCAGCAACACTCTTCTCAGACCTAGAAACAACAATACGGGAATTCATATGGAAACATAAATGATCAAAACAATCTTCAGCAAAAAACAAAAACAAAAACAAAGCAGGAGGTATCACACTCCTAGACTTTAAATTTTATTATAAAGCTTCAATAATCAAAACAGCCTGGTATTGGTACAAGAACAGTCATATAGACCAATGAAATAGAATTGACATTCCAGAAGCAAAACCTCAATTTCTCAACCAACTCATCTTCGACAAAGTCTCCACCACCAACCACTGGGGAGAGGAGAAACTATTCAGTAAATGGTGCTGGGAAAACTGGCTGACCACATGCAGAAGATTGAAACAGGACCCATATCTATCCATTTATACTGATATCTAAATGGATCAGAGACCTAAACATAAAACCTCAAACTATAAGAACCTTAGAAAATGCAGGAGACACTCTTATGGAAATTGGAACTGGCAACCAATTCCTGATCAAACCCCAAGTGCCCGTGCCATAAGAGATAAGATAGATAAGTGGGACCTTATCAAACTGACAAGCTTCTGCAAAGCCAAAGAAACCATCAAGAGAGCAGGGAGATAGCCCACAGACTGGGAAGAAAATATTTGCCAACTCTATGTCTAACAAAGGCCTAACATCTACAAGGAACTCAAATGTGCTGAAAAGAAAAAAAACAGCCCCATTACAAAGTAAGCAAAAGATATGAATAGACACTTCTCAAAAGAAGACATATGAGCAGCCAACAGATACATGAAAAAATGTTCAGCCTCACTAGTCATCAAAGAAATGCAAATCAAAACTACACTGAGATACCACCTAACTCCAGTCAGAATGGCCATCACCAATAACTCAAAAAATAACAGATGCTGGAGAGGATGTGGTGAAAGGGAACACTTTTACACTGCTGATGGGAGTGTAAACTAGTACAGCCTCTGTGGAAAACAGTGTGGTGATTCCTAAAAGTTCTAAAAATCAGCCTTCCATATGACCCCGCAATCCCCTTACTGGGAATATACCCGAAGAACTAAAATCACTCTATAAAAAAGATACCAGCACACGTATGTTTATTGCAGCATTGTTCACAATAGCAAGAACATGGAACCAACTGTGTTGCCCATCAAAAGAGGACTGGATAAAAAAAAGTGGTATGTATACAAAATGGAATATTACGCAGCCATAAAGAAGAACAAAATCATAAACTTTGCAGCAACCTGGATGGACTTAGAGTCTATAATACTTAGTGATCTTTCACAGAAACAAAGAACTGAGTATCACATGTTCTCACTCATAAGTGGACCTTGAACAACTATCATAATATCATAAGAAAAGGAATGATGGTAGCGGGAAACTGTGGAGGGGGGGAGGGCAGGGAAGTGGGATTGGTAGTAGTGGGAAACTGCCTGGGGAAGGAGGGGCACACCTCATCAACAAGGGCACCTACACAATGAATATTTGTATACCTAACCCTGAATTGTACCCCACAATTTTAAAATTAAAAAATTTTAAAAAAAGAAAATAGCATGTTAAGACTGCACAGTAATTGAACAAATTTAACAATAAATTTTACTAATCTGAAAATCAAAGAATGAGATAATTAGAAATGACTAATTTATCATATTCAAGATTTTACCATTTCTGTATATTTTTTAAATGATTACATTCTAATTCTCTTTTGAGACAGATACACTGTATTGAAAACCTGGCAAAATAAATGAACATTTAATATGCAAATCTGATGATTCACTTGGAGATAGGAAAAACAGGGATGCTGTATCTAGTAATAATAATAGCCCCAAGTCTCAACAGCTTTATTAAAATCTGACTTAGACACAGATTAGATTATGAAATCTGTAAAACCCTGATTTTTCTCATGTTGTTTCCTGCAACCAACATCTTGGGTGTGTAGGCACATTAAGACCAAACATTCACCTCTGAAATGCCCGAGTAACGTCAGAGGGCTACACACAGGAGAAAGTGGGGCCGTTTTCCAACAATAGCTAAGACACACACTAAAAACTATAAGGTTCTCCCCTTTACACCCCACCCCAAAAAGAGCAAGTTCTCATGACACTTGAGTGCAAACTAAAGTGCACAGTGAGCTCACACAGCTGTGCCTCTGACTGACCTCGTCTGGGCTGGAGGCCTGGTACGTGCGGTTCTCATCACTGAAGTCCTGGTCAGCCTCAGTGAACTCGGTCTCCCCTGTGACACCGGCCCAAGACTCGTACACGGGGGTCACGTTGTGACACAGTGCGATGGCTTTAACGGCTTCATGGATTCGACTGCTGACGCTTTTCCTAACTTTGGGAGCTGAAGATTGGGCTTTTCTTGGTGGAGTTGAACTGATGCTGTTTCCACCAGCTTGAGAATGCACCTTTAGAATGTGGAATGACACATAATTAAAGATAGAGCAAAAAGCACTATGTAGTTAACAGTGAAGTTATTAACACACGTGGTTTTCTAGACAAAGTTGCTAGGGATAAGCAAAGTGGCTTGATTTGATTCTGATTACCTTCTATACGGTATTGATTAATATGAGTGTTTTTAATCCTAGTAGTACAAAGTGCTTTGATATCTCCAGATTGTCAAATATATTAAAATAGTTGCTATAATATTTAAAATCTGATCATTTCATTTTACTTTATTTACTTCATCCATGGCATCCATTTGCTAAGTTCCTAATTCCTGTTTGCTCATTACTCTAAAGCAGAATAAGTAAAAGAACCAAATGGAATGGTATACTGACAACTGATTTTAAAAACTCTGGTGTAGTAGCTCAAGCCTGTAATCCCAGCACTTTGGGAGGCCAAAGCAAGAGGACTGCCTGAGCCCAGGGTTTGTGACCAGCCTGGGCAACTTGGTGTGACCTCATCTCTACAATATACCAAAAAAATCAGCCAGGCATGGTAGCACATGCCTGTAGTTTGAGCTACTTGGAAGGCTGAGGTGGAAGGATCACCTGAGCCCAGAAGGTTGATGCTGGGGTGGCTGCGAGCATGCTAGCTTGGGCAACAGAGTGAGACTCTGACTAAAAAAACCCTCTGTACATAAAATGGTATAAAGCTAACACAGAATATTTTAAAGACTCTTCCCTTAAGACCATAAATCAATCCAGCTTTCAGCAGTCTCTGAATTTAGACTGTCTAGTTTTGTAGATAATGATAACCAAATACATGAATAGTTGCTTCAGAGGAAAGATGATCCCACGTCATATTTCAAAAGCATGTTTTCTTGAAGTGGCTAGCTGCTTAGAACTTAAGTCTATGGCTGGCTCTCCTCAGACTCAGTTGCCTGGGAGAATTCATCCCCACTTTTTATTATTCCCCTCCTATGTGGGGGAGAGTGTCACGGGATACTTCTCTAACCCCAATATGACTGTCAAACATTTCTTCAGTTAACTTGGGAGTAACTCATGACAATCCTCCTTAGAAGCCAAGGCTCTTACTTTTGGACTGAGTGCATGGATCCAATGAACCATGAATCTCCTGCCCATCAAATTGCAGTGCTGTCTAATGACGGGTTTAGCTTTCTGCTCAGCTGGTCCTGCCTACCAGCAAGCACCCAGCCCATCTGCACGGGTTCGCACTGCCGCACGACAGTGGCAGCTGAACTCGGCTGACTCCCTCCTTTCTCAACTACGTTATGTTTATTGATGCTTGTATAATTTAATTTCACCCAGATTCCATTAAAGATTATACCCTCTATCACCAAATGCTTCCAGTGGGGAAATATAATCAGGTTATAAAAGATTTGTGTTACATTACAGTGGACCTGCAAGACTACTGTCATCTTAATAATACAACAGAATACAAATAAGGAGTCAAATCAATTTCACATAAAGAGTGTTGTCTAATCGTCTAACAGAAGCTTTTAGTAAAAATGCCTTTTAAAAGTATTCATAGATGGAAATAAATTTTAAATATTTGCTGTGTTTATATAATTTGTTTTTATCCTTTCTGTTTTTAACTTTTCCTAGCAATATAACTTATTTGAACTAGTAAAATCACATCCATGGATAATATAAATTAACTTTCAAAAATCAAATGTTATCTGGTACTATTTCAATTTAGACACAGATTCTTATGTTCTTTTTATATTTTTCTTTTATTAATGGATATCCTAGCTTATAAAATACTATGTATCAAAATGAATTACATCCAAATTAATATAGTTCTTGGTTGTGTGTGTATGCTTGTGTATGGATGAACACAATATAAGATAAATATAAACATGTAAGATTTTTCCATTTGATAGCATCTCAAAAGTAAAGCATATATCATACTGGTAATAATTACAGAAGAAAAAGGTTTTCAAAAAGCTGAATACAATTTTCACAGTTGAAATCTACTCCTGAATATAGTCAGCAGTAGAAAAACTGTGATGGAAAAGTAATTTAGTTTTTAGTCTGTGCAGAATCAAGTCTGAAACAAATGACTGTAAATACAAAAAGTCTATGAGACTCCATGGCTAGCAGTACTAGTGTGACCTCCTGTGAGTTCAGGGCAGTGGTACCATGCAGCATTGCAACTATGACTACCAGGTGAGCGGTTTACTCTTGAACCTGATGGACCTTGGCTCATTATCACATAGATTACTATATTCAAAACAAATTAGCAAACAGTCAGAGAAAAAGGCTAAGAAAGTGACCCTCCTAGCACAGGGTATAGTTTTGTACACTGGCAGCCTAAGTTGACTCCCTCAGATTGCCAGGCTTGATGATATTGAAGCAATGACTTCAAAGTATGACAGGTAAAAGGAAATCCAAATGAATGACAAAAACACTACTCAACGGTTGGGCTACTATGTTTACTGAATAATTTTGAACAATTCACTAAGAAAATGTAACATGAAAAATGATGTAAGCTCATTACACTTTCTAGGATTATACTAATGTAGAAATGCTTATTTTAAATTATACTAATGTGGAAATGCTTATTCCAAAACTGTTTCTTGATTCCCATATTAGAACTGATGACTAAAGTAGTAGAAATTAAGATAAAGACATATGCTGACTTACAGACTGCCATATATACACAAGGCTCAGTTTAACTCAACAGTACTGGGTGCTTTGGAAGAAGACACACTCAGAAGTGAACCACTTGCCTGGGAGTACGAATTCCTGACATGGCTCTGTATCTCATCCATCGTGTCTGTCCCATAGGACACAGTGCCCAGGTGGAGCCGCTTGAAGACCATCTCATTCTGGGTAAGGGTTCCTAGGATAGAAGTGACAACAAACACACAAAGGCAGGTAGTACACTGCACATCCATAAGAGGAGGCTCTTCTCCCCTGTGGCTATGCAGCTGGGACATCCTACTTTATGACACGGAGCAGCTTAAGAATGTTACATGCTACTATTTCTGTCTTCATAGTGGAACAAGAAGTTTTCTTCCTAGCATGCCAAGTTCCCCTTTTACCAGTTTTCAATAGTGGGAAGGGCTCTAGTTATATGAAGAAAGTCTAGTCTCTATTGGTACAAATGCAGCTTATTTTCTGTCTGTTCTGAAAGAGGCAGGCATAAAACTAGAAAACTGAGTCACCATCTTTATAATTACAATATTGAACACTGTCTGAGAAAGACATCCACTAGTTCCAAGTTAGGGTTTTCATTAGTTTCTTAAAAATCTGTTTTGAAAAATTATTTTTAGCTGAACAGAAACAGATATTCCAGATGTGTTTAGCCCTTGACACACAGCAGTGTCACCAGGAATGATGAACAGGATGAAAGAGAAGATTATTTTAACCGAGTTTCCCAGTAGTGAATTATCCAAATGTGCTTCCTCAGTGCCTGTTCTTCAATTTACCAAGGCAGAAGAGTCAAGGGTCGCTTCGCTGTTAAGAATATTGGGCCACATGTTAAGTGACTTACAGATCTCACCTAATATAAAAATGCACACATAACATGAGCATATAAGTTTCACTTATCTGGTTTTACAGAAGGAAAGCAGCACAGGGGAGTTTACATGACCTCTGACTGTGAACACAGGTTATTGCTATGATGGTACTTTCATCATCTGTCCTGGAGCTTTCTGCATTTATCTCATAGCCCAGGAAGAAGGACTATCTGTGGGTACTGACGTAGTTATAAATGTAAATATGAACAGTGATACTGCCAATCAATTGCTACAAAAGTTGAACTTTTCACAGGGTTACAAAGCACCCATAAAATATTAAATAATTTATCTTCTTTGGCACATGTCATTAAAATATACTATAAGCTATTTCTTATCTATGATGTCATATGAATTACAGTACAGTGAATCCTAACACACTATAGGATCAGAGCACAACAGTCATCTGATGCAGAGCCTGCTACCAGGACATGGAGCTTACTTTAAAACAAAAGGAAAATCTTCTATTTCATGATGACTATTTTAGAGGTTGTTTTGATAAGTGTTCTTAAAGAAATTGGTATAATATATTCAAGCTTTAGAAATTCCAAAGAGCAGCCACTAGCTGGGATACCTGTCAGTTTTATACTTGTGCCTCTTACAAGATTCTATGACACCCCTTTACAATGGTTGTATTCTATACACCTTACATAAGTGGTTTCTAAGTTTCATAAACACACGTGAGAAGGAAACAATCATGATTACAAGAGAAGTAGTTGAAACCTTTTCTTGTTATGCCATCCTTATTAAATAAAGTAGAATTAACTTAAAACACTAGATCATATTAAATAATGTAGACAGCAATAATTCCATCTCCAAATCAAATAGCATAATGAAGTTCCATAAATGCTTCATACAGCAGAGATCTGAGATGGAAAATGACAGTTCAATTATTATCTATAGTCAACAGATGGTGAAATCTTACACTGATTCATACTGGAATGAATATAAAGTTCATCTCTATTATATGAGCTCGAATGAGTAGTTCTAAAAATTATTTAACAAATGCATTCTTTAAATTAAAAATTTTTTGTCTATGAGATTGATATAATTGAAGAATTTCCTTTAGTCCTTTTTCTTTGACATACAATGAGGTGTAGTATGACGATCTGTGGTGGGTGGTGACTGGGCATAAGTCCTATACAGTTTGCAAACAGGACCAGAATGAACATGTCTCTCAACCTTTTGTTATGAACAATGTTATATATGATGATGATGTGTGGTGGGTGGGCACGGCGTCCAAGCACAAATCCTATGCGGTTTGTACACAGGATCAGGATGAACACTACTTCTCTCAACCTAACTTTTTATTATGAACAATTTTATATATGTATTAAAGTTAAAAGAACATTATGTGAGCACCTGTACAGCTTCTACCAAGAATGGACAATTATTTCTTTAGGTTTTTAGTAACTTTATGCCAGTACCAAAAATCCCCTAAAGAAATGACTCATCATTCTCTGTCCTGTCCTCACTCAATGCATTTTTGCGTGACTGCAACAGGCACTGGGAGTGCAGTCAGTTAAGCATGGAGACCTCCACGTGCAATGTCAAGGTGCTGTCACTGCCTGTCCCCTAGCACTTGGCTCAAGTCGCAGTCCCCGTGAAAGTGTCTCTGTCCTCACAACGACCGACATGAGACCCATGACTTCAGCCCTCCCTCTCCCTCAACAGCATACCTTCTTGAACAGCGTCCACTACCATGTCTGCACAGGCCTATGTATGCGTGCACTCCCAGGGCTCTGCTCAAGAAGGGCAAGACCTTCCCTACTCAGCTTCCTCACTGTGAAAGGTTGCTATGGAAGGTGGTCCAAAGATAACATGAAGGCATGCAGGTGACACAGCTGACGTCGCGTGTCCTAAATAAACAGGAACTGCTTTTACCATACCCCTGCCATCATTCCATCCTTTCTTTACCTTCTGTCTTCAGTCAGCTCCCAAGCCTTCTCAAATGTACCTCAGTGCAAGTCCCTCCCTCCCCAACATCAGTTTTCGGACTTCCTAGTGCTGCCCTCTCTAGCTCTCCTTGGGCTCTGTGGCCTCTTCCATAGCCTTCTGACTCCAGATCCGATATTCTTCCACCTACCTTCTCACCAGTGCGATCATCTGAAATGAACATCTCTTCACAGTACTCCTTTGCTCTTAGCAACTAGCAGCGACTCCCCACTGTTTACAGATGTGAAGAGAAACTCCCTAGAATGGAAGCCAAGCTCTGCACAACCCAAAAAGTATCCTCCCATGCCAGCGCCACTCCAGCTGCTGCTCATCCCCACCCAGGTAACAGTCTTATCAACTCCAAGTCAACTGGGAATTCATATACTCATTCAGCAGAAACTCATCAAAAGGCATCACTACTTGCTGGGCTTGGTCCAAATCCTGCCAATAAGCTGTAGGCTGTGTAACTTCACAAGGTTGCTTTAAATTCTCCACCTCCTAGTTTATTCACTTGCAAAACAAAAAACACTGCTGACCTGGAATGAATGGATGTTGCGAGGAGTGAACACAATTAATGTATGTAAACCCCAATTAACGTACAAAGTGCCTAGCACAGAGTGAGGGTGAGGCGCTGTGTTCTCAAGAACCTTGGGGGCCTGGGGGAAGAGAGCCTGCAGGACACAGCTCTACTTCTGAGCACCCTGGGCGCAGGGTAAGGTGACTGCAGTCTCCGCAAGTCGCTCAGGTGAAGTAGGGACTGCTCCCAGAAGTGGTGGCATTTGACCTGGGACTGAAGAACAAACATGGACTCATTAGTGGTTGCCTGAAAAGTAAGCTCCAGAAGGGGACATTGTGCATGCACGCATGTTTCCAGAGAGAGGCAAGTCCCAGTAATGGGAAGTAGACACAAGGGAAAGGGCTACAGGGGGCAGGAGAGCAAGGGAACCTGGGTCCTATCTGGAAGGTCCCTGCAGGGGTGATGGAGAAATTGCGGTGTTATTCTGGGGATGGAGGGCAGGGGTCAGACATGGAGAAAGGGAGCTGGTAAAGAGTTCAGATAAGGAACATTGTGGCAGCAGGCAGCAGGACAGAAAGGCAGAGGAAATGTGGGATCAAGAACCAAACAGCCTTCAGAATGGAATGTGGAGGCTGGGAACCTGAGTCACTAAATCTCACTACCTCTGCTCAGGAGGCTGCACACAGTGGGGGCCAGGACTTGAGGAGTCAGGCATGGGAGAAAAAAACACAGCCGATGAGTTCAGGAACAGACGAATCTGAAGTGGCTATGGCGCAGGGCACAAGCATACAGAGAAGACAGTACATGGGGCCAGGGAAGGGCCCAGTCCAGGAGGTCCAGGGGACTGGGGACAGGTGTCATTGTATTCGTAGCCTGTTATGGGACACATTATACCTGTGAGGTATATTTGGTAATAGTGCTCTATTATGTTTTATTTACATATACTATTCCTTAAACCTTCAAGCCTGACATTTTGTAGTATAGAGCAAGAAGCCACATCATTTTAATGATATTTTACAGGTGTGTGTTGTGTTTTTAAAAACCCAGTGAAAAAGCCTCACAGCACTCTGCTGAACTAGGGCAGGGCAAACCTGCACTCCAGTTCTGTATATAAGTTAATAAGATGCTAAGAAATCAAGTAGCTTGTCTACTGTTAGTACACTGATGAGACAAGTATTCAGATCCTTTGGTGACAAATTCTGTGTTTCTTCCACCATGCCAAGCTGCCTCAATCTGATACTTGTTAACTGACTAATACGCGGATTTATATCCTGTGCTAACATTTATGGAAGAAGCTGAAGCGTGACTTGAAAAAACTAGAATCAGTTAGGGTTACAAGGCTTGTTAGGAACAAAGAGATTAATCATTTCTAGGAATAAAGAGATTAATCATTTCTAGAAAGATCTTTTTTGGGCTATGTCTAATATGTGCTGTTTTACATTTCAACAGGTTTTCACATTGTCAGAAAAATGATGACACTATTTAAGCTCTTCACGTTAAAACGGTGCGAACAATATATAATATTCACCATTCCACAGCTATAACTTTTAGGAACAAACTTTATGAGATGAGATGAATAAAACAACCCAAAACCTGGCCAAGGAAGCAAAAGAGTGTTAAAGATGAGTAATACTGCATATGATTGGCCAACACGTTATCCGAATAACCTTTTGGGAATGTACCAAAAAGATCTATTGCACTTATTACACATGCACAGGCTCCAGGAGGGAGTGGTGCCCAAACTGTGGTAGACCTTCTAGCTGCAACATTCTATAACTTGACATTTCGCTCTAAAAATTGGCATACTTATAATCACGTCTGTATCAGCTATTTCCACATGGAGTATTCCCCTTGATCTTCACAGAAGCACAGAGGTGTCAATGCCACACCAGGGC